AATAGTGCTAAATGTAAAAAAAAAAAAATCTAATTAATTTTTATTTTTAAAAAAAAATCACGGTTTTTGCCAAGCATTGTAAGAAGTGACATATAGAGAGTTGGTACACGGCAAAATTGAAATAGTTTTATGAACAATCAAATGACATGCATGCAAAAACTTATGTAAACTTTCAACTGGGTTAGAAAAACTTTTATTAGGTATAAATTAAGTTCAAAGTCAATGAAATGTACACAGTGCTGGTAATTTCTGTTGTGTTGTTGTTGTAGAATGTTAAGATAGTGGCTTAAAAAATGTTGGCAGATTCTGTAACAGGGTGTGTAGCCGAATTTTTTAACAAAAAATAAGCACTTTTCAAGCACTAAAAAATATTTGTAAGGACTTTTAACGATTTTAACCGTCATGTCAGAAAAAAAAAACTTTTGGCATAGTTTTTGACAAATGTCAAAAATCATGAAATTTTGAATCATACGCTACGAATCGACAAATAGATTGGGGTTGAATTAATTGTGAAAATTTATGTCTTTTTGCATAATTCGTGGTGAAAATCAACATTGTAAAGGAAAAAATCTCATTTTGGAAAAGGGAAAATTAAGCCCTCTTTAAAAACACCCAATGAAAAAAGCACCTTTAATGGCTTTTTAAAATCGAAAATATGCACTTTTAAGCACTTTTTAAAAACGCTACACACTCTGTGTAAGCAGCAAACATCTGGTTCTTATATCGTCTTCTTCGAACGTGAAGAGGAAGAAACCACAAGTGGTGTGCCAATTTTGGTTCAATAACAAATATGACCACAGAAAGTTTCAAGCCGATGCAATCATTGCTGTTGCAAGATGGCCATTAGAAATTGGAGGAATTAGGAAGCAGGTCATTCACAAAGATTTAAGCATGATCCCATATTGATCACAAAGATTTAAGCATGATCCCTCTTTGATGAGGCATGATATCCGTGATTTGATCCATACCAAAGGAGGTCTTCACAGACTGTCTCAAACAGCTTTATTCATGATTTTAAGTGTATTGTGATAACTGATCTTATTTTGAGGGTAATTATACATGAATGAGGGTAATTATAATTACGTCATAAAGGTATGTTTTTTATACTTCCATTCACCAAACTTTTTAGATGCACATGTATCAATTACTATTTGGGATTTCTTGAAATTATTTCATAAAATTCCTCGATTTAAAAAGAGAGATCTTTCATCAGCATCGAAGTACCACACAGTGATAGCAAACCTGCAAAAATAATAAATCAATACAAATATTCAACTAACTGCACAAAATTTTAAATTAAATGAATATTTAAGTTAAAATGCCTTGTGGTTTAGTAATATTATTACATCTTATGTAATTGGCAATTGCTTTAAAAAAACATGCATTTACAGATTCAAGTTTGATCATTAGATAATTTGAGTATAATGTGAAGTAACTGCTAATATTTTCCTTAACTATACATATTCAAATATACTGAAAAAAATTATTATTTATTGCTTATTTTTATAAAAAATTTTAGTTAAATAAAGTTATTAATACTGAATTTATAAAATAAAATGATATCTTAGAGTTCTATTTCTACAATGTGTATATCCAGTACAGTCTATGAAAATGTAAGGTCTTTTGTGCAAATACTATTTGCTTCACATTTACAATTCTTTAATGTAATCGCTTGCATTTGTTAAAGGCATGCTCAATTATCACGTTCTAATCAGACTGAAATTTGTAACATTCAATTTGAGAAAAAGATTTTTTTTCAAGCATTATATGCATTAAATTTTCAGAAATTTGAATAAAATATAAAATTTTAAAAAATTCTTAATAATTTATTCCTACAAGAACTAAGTGTTTTAAAAAATGAGTTATTGTACAAATATGTAATATTTAACATTTATGATAAAAATTATTCAATAAATCAAACTAAACCTGCATTCATCATTATTCAATAAATTAAATTAAACCTATGGCTTTAATTGAAAATTGCAGTTAGGTTTATTTTCTCTAAGGAAGTTTTTTCCACAGCTCAAATACCAACCGTGCTTTAACTTAGCATGCTAAAATATTGAAATTTTCAAGCTGGAATATATTTTTTACATCCTTAAAAATCACACGAATATTAAGATAAGTTTTTTTTTATCAAATGGCTATTATGATAAGAACTCATCAAAAAAAAAAAAAATTTATCTCAATTCAATCCGCTAACACACTTAAGTATTCAGAAACACAGCACCACATGACAACTAAATATAGAACTATGTATATTGAAAAACTTGTATGCAAAAAGAACAATAAAATTTTGTTTTCTGCAATTAACTTTCTAAAATAAATGACTTAAAACTTTAATAAATTTTTGCACTTCAAAAATGTATTTCCAGTAGTATTTTCCTAATTTATAGCTAATTTAAAAATCCCAATATGTAATTGGGAATTGAAATATAAATTTATGGTAGATTTAACAATTTTTACATGGGGAAAAAAAGACAGAACAATGATTTCAATACTAATTTACATGTTGAATTGAATAAATTTTTCTACTTAGTAAATAACAAATAAACTGTGATCAAGATTATCAAATCCCTTTTTGTATCTTAATTATCTAAAATTTTATAAAACATAAACATTGAATTTTCAATTTAATTCACCTATACCTAGATATTTATAAATTTTGCACATTTACCCCAAGTTATAAGAACCAGGATCCCCGAGGCAGAATCGTGGCGACATTGTCACAGAATGTTACCGAGTTCTTGCAGAAAGATTTTTCCTTTGGGGAGTAAAAAATTTTGGTTTTCGTTTCTGCAGAAATTTTCGAAAGATACTATCTTTTCTTCAGAATTATATTCCAAATTATATGACATTCTTGAGCATCGGAGTTGAAAAAAAAGGCTTGTAATTTTTCTATTTTCATTTGAGAATAATGAAGTAAGAAGTTTGGATTTCTTTTCTGCAGAAATATTTGTTTTATTTTATTTTATTTTTTACAGTTATTGCTATTGATTTCCACATAGTTTTTAAAATCTGATATTTTTAATCTGATATTATTTATGACAACAGCTGAATCTTGAAATGAAAACACGCATTTGTAACACCCTTTTTAAAGAGTTTGATTTGGCGTGACTTCTGGCTTTTTTGATCGCTTTTTTTTTCTTCGTTAGTTACTGTTATGGATTTCACTATTTTTAATTTGTTTTTAAATTTGATGATGACTTACAGAGAAAGAAAAATAAAATAATTAGTGTGTTTTCTCCCTACAAGATGCGAGAATATAGCTCAATAGAATAAAAAATATTACATATTCAGTTTTAAAAATTACATTATTTTTTCCGAAAACTTTTTTTTTTCTTTTGAAGTTGACGCTCTTGTTACTTTAAATTAGTAACATATATATTTTTTATTATTAAAAGTATCTTGCAGAAAGATATTAATGCTGGAGAGATTTATCGCAGAAAGCCCAAAAAAATTCTGCCACAGGGACCAGGATATTTTACATTTGTAAATTCAAATGATGATATCTAAGTGAATTACTGAAGTAACATATAATTTTGAGTCTTCTTTCTAAAAATGCATGTTCCTAAAGGCAGAAAAAGTTCATGTCTTTCAATCATTACATGATAATTAATTTCTGTTTTATTTCCTAAGCTAAATTTCTATTTTTCATAATTGGAAAAGAATATAACATTTATTTGAAAAGTGACCATTAGACTGTCATTGGTAAAAATAAAATGTAGTTAGGTTTAGTGTTAATTTTGATTTAAAAAAAACATGCAAATACTACGGTTAAATTAGAAAGATTTTTATTGTAAAATCTACTCAAATCTATTAACAGTATAATTTTATATTTTTCTTTATTATTATCTATATTATATAAAACGCTAATACGTATGAATCAATAAAACCGATGATATTTCTTTTCTCGCGTTGGCAACAGTTTTCATTTTATATTCATGGGCTTCGGCACGCAAGAGCATCATATGGCTAATCTATATTACATAAAACGCTAATACGCTTTAATCAATAGGCTTCGGCGCGCAACGGCACGTAGTGAGAATCATATGTCTAATCGGGTCAATTCCCATCGAATTATCAAAAAATTTCTCGCAAAATTATCTTCATCAAAGCCGATGCTTTACATCCGGCGTTCAGTACTATTTCATATTGTTTTACAACACATGGTTTTAGCCCTCTGGTGGGAAAGACTTTAAAACAAAACTTACAACAGTTACTTTTCTCAACAACTGAAATTTAGAATAGTGTGATTAAGAAAAATATGTGAACTGTTTGCAATTTCAAATTAATATTGAAATGCACAGGTTTAGAATTTTCTACAGTGAAAAGTTTTCGGAACTTCAGTGTTCAAAAAAGTATACAAAAGCTAGACGTTAAGAACGTATTCAATGAGCAAGTAAAGCGAGCATCGGATTGCAAAGCAATCCGAAATGAACTGCGAAAGCAGTTCCGAGGGTTCGCGAGCACCAGCGAGGAGGGGGCGAAGCCTCCTTGTTTTTTTAAAAATCTGAAACACAGCTAATTCCTCACAAAACAAATAATGGTATATAACATTTTAATACATTTATATTTATCAATATTTAAGTATTGTGTATTTTGATATCTGTTTAGTTTAATTACCTCTTATCAAACGTTTTCAATGCAAAAATTTACTATTCCTTACACATTAAAAAAGCTATCATTTGCAAAACAGTTTTTTCCTTCAGTCAAAAATGTGATTGAATCATTTGTTTACCTTGTTGCAAAAGCAGGTAAAACTTCATGAGGATTCCTCCTATCAGACCAGAAAAATATCATTCGATCAAATATAGGTTCAATGACAGAAACTTGGTCATTATAAGCTGTTGGATACAATCTTAAAAGTCCTCCATGTTTCTAAAGAAAGAAAAAAAATTACATCAATTTCAGGAAAACATACTTTTCAGAATTTTGTAAAGATATTGACAAAGTTAGTTAAAATCAAGAAGTCAATATTGGTGCATGCCTGCAATTTACAACCAGAATTTAGTTCAGAGTATAGATAGTGGTAGTAATCATCGACATCACATTTCCTAGTCATACATTACAGTAGAGTCCCAATGTGGGTTAATGTGGAGCATAAGTAAATNATCAGGGTTGACAACATTTTGACAACAGTAACAGTAGCTTTTGCAAAATTTAAGAGGAGCATTTCATTTGCTTTGCACAGCACTTTTTAAACTAAAGCGAAATAATTAAATAGCAAAACAAAAATCAAATTATTAATGAAAATTAAATATGGGCAAAACTTGAAGTTAAAAAAAAAACAAACAAACCTGGAAATGTTATATTACTCAGATAGTTAAAATTTATTATCTTTCAATTTACTTAATAAAATTTAAATCTCTAAACTATTGATTAACACATTTCATTATTTAAAATTCGGATCTTTACTTCATTTGCTTTCAATAAAATACAACAGTGTCCTGATTATCCGAGTTAATGTGGATCACGACTAAATCAGATAACTGAAAAACTCGGTTAAGGCAAAAAGTATAAAAAAGGAAAGAAAAAGAGTAGGTATAAATGTAATATATTTAACAAATACAAAATTTATACAAGTACACCATAAAAATTCATATTATAATCAGGGGTCTGTCTAGACCAAATTTACTACCGTTTAGCGGTACCTTCACAAATTCAACTTTAGGAAAAACGATAGTTTCACAAAATACTTTTCCTTAAAATTTTATTTCTGTATCCCTAAGAAACGATAAATCCATATTTTACTGTTGATTTTACAATGTAATTTTTAATTTTCACAAAATAGGTACCTCTTAGAAAAACCTAGACAGAACCCTGACAATGCTTAATACTTTATGAGAATTAAAGAGATTTTACTTAAAAAAGTCCCTAATCTTTTTTCTTTTTCATTACTTTGGCGCTTTTCTGTCGCAATGTTTCGCCATTTTTTAGGGATAACTGGAAGGCAGGTGTCGCCTCTGCTTGTTGTAATATCTATTCAATATCCATCTGTATGAGAGATTTTTATAAGTTGAATTTTCACATCATCTTCGGCAGAATCTTTTTCATCATTGAGAAAATTAAAAATCATTTTGAAGGATCAAGTTGTTGGATTTTGTTTTCTTCATTGTTTAGAAGATAAAGATCAAGCTCATAAATAGCAAAAGGGTTTAAAAAATTTTATCATTATTAATAATGATAAGTAATGATTATTAATAATGATAAATAATGATAAGGATAATCATTATTTATCCTTATACATATAGGGAAGTGAAACTTGGACCCTAAATTCAGATATACAGCAGACACCTTTGAAAGAAAGATCGTCAGAGCCATCTTTGGTGCAATTCAAGAAAGGGGATGCTGGCAAACTAGATATAACTTCGAGCTCTACGTACTCTACAAGCTGCCCCAAATTTCACAAATAATTTTCAGTAATAGGCTGAGATGGCTGGGCCATCTATGGAGAAGTTCTGAAAATAGCGCCATGAGAATAGTAACCTTTAAGAACCCCGAGGGGTCACATCCCAGAGGCAGGCCCCCTACTAGATGGCTCAACGACATCGAAAATGATTTGAAAATCCTAAAGATTAGAAATTGGAAGGTAGTTGCCATGGATAGGAGGCGCCGGCGTTTGTCAGCTGTTGAGGCAGCCAAGATCTGCAAGGGGCTGTTGCGCTGACAAAGAAGAAGATTTATCTTTATAAGGCTAAAATACTTACATACCATTATCAATATGACTAGATTGAGAGGTTTTTAAAATAATCTTTCACTTCTGATTTTAAAATAAATAAAAAAAATAACTTTAAAGTATAGTTTATCCTTTAAATGTAAATAAATATATTGAAATATATAGTTCATTGGTAGAAATTATCTCACTTACTTTTACATCCCAGTTTTGATTCAGATAATAAATACAAGTGACACATCTGCCATCTTTAAGAGGATTATCAACATGTTTTTTGTAAAATGTCCCATTCCCAGGATAACATGCTATCATTGCCTAAATATAAAATAAAAGAAAATCACAATCGGAAAATAATTATCAAGTAATAATGTAATAGAATAAAAAAGATACAAAAAAGTAAAATTATGACAGACCAAAATACATAAGCAGTGTTAAAAAATCTTTCAAAGCTATCCCTGTTTCTTATAAAGATCTTCTGTAATAGCATGGATTAAAATGACTTTGTAGGTGTTCACAATTGCAATAAGGTTATTTTTGTACATGAAAAACTATCAATCAGTAAACTATTTTTTAAAACATTTTTTCATGGTCCATACAGTGTATAAACCAATTTTCATTTTATCCAAAATGGACACTATATTGGCTTAAATATTACATCTATATTTAGAACACCCCTGTATTGTAATTGATTGAATACTTGCCTTTGTTCTTCGGTGCAACTTATAATTGGATATCACCCCATTGTTTGGCATTTTATTGCAAGTAGTAATAGCAAGATCAAGTTTTTGCATTAAGCTATAAATAGCTGCGCAACCAGGTTCCGTACCAGCAACCCATGCGGTAACATCCCTTCGAATATTTTCTTTCACCAAAACTGTATTTTTATTTATAAGTTCACCTTTCTCAAATATACCCTGCGCATACAAATGTTTAACCTCACTGAGAATTCTGTTACCAAGCTTGTCACCCATAAATTTATCCAATACACATATACCATATTTATTCATGTCACTTATGACATTTGAACATATGGCCTTCAAGGGCATGCTTTCTGATTGATTAAAATCATGAGCATCTTTCAACCAACTATCATTCAATTCACTAATAGTAGGAGTAGGTGCTCCAGTTTGCAAGGCTTCAGAAATTTTGGCTATGGCACGTTCCTTTTCAAGGTCAGTTCTAAGGTCAGATAAGTTTTGGGCATCACCAGTGTTAATTACATCCCAAAAACTATTTTCAGAATTAAATAAGTCGCTGCTGAGTGACGAAAATACATCTCTTTCAGAAGATGAATTAAAACTTAAACTTTCATCAGAACTTGAAACCATATTTGAAGCACTTGCACTGTAATCATTTTCTGGCACTATAACCTGATTAAAATTTTCATACGTATTTTGACTCCAATCACCATACGCTGAGAAATTACTAGATTCTTGATTGGTAGAAATCGGTGTATTTAGAGATATCTGAGTAGCTTGTGGTATATTTTGCTGTTTACATTCCTTTTTGTGAGTAGGCCAGTGTTTTATTTGGTGATCCCGACAGCAATAATAAGCTTTTTTACAGCGATTACAAACGCTGTTTCCGATTCCTGAACACCAATTACAAAACGTTGCTGGATTTCTTGACATTTGTTGATGAATTTCCATCTTATAGGCAAAATAATAAAACGGTTAATATGGGGAAAAGTTTTATTTTATCTTTAACAAAATGTTACGTCTGGTAATAAAAGAGTGCGGTCTGTTTCATGCCTGTTTGTAATAAGGAATGTGTTTTTTTTTTCTAATGTATATACAAAAATCTGTTTCTGACACAAAACAAATTCAGTTTGACAAGCAGATTAACAAAATATGTTTTGATGATTGCGTCACAAGTGCATGTTGTTTACAAAACATTGACAGTCATAGTTAACTTGATAGACGGTTAAAATTTCGAGCTTCCTTTCCACGAGTGGCGCGTAAGTCGGTTATTTCTAGTTATTGGTGATTGAAATGGGCCACAGGTAGCGTAAAACAGAACTCTACATATGGCAACAATTTGCACGCTTTTACCAGTAGCGCGAGGGGAGTCATAGAAGAAAAAAAGTACGTTAGTTTCTGTCTTGATTTTCAAGTAGATTAAATTTTTTTAAATTAGGAAACTATATGAAACTGAAAACTACATTAAACATAGTTCTAAGAGAAAGCATCATGGAAATTTAAAAAAAATATTTTTAACAATTAAATACAAAAAATATTGTTGTTGTTAATTTACGTCACACTAGAGCTGCACAATGGGCTATTGGCGACGATCTGGGAAACATCCCGGAGGATGATTCGAAGACATGCCATCACAATTTTGATCCTCTGCGGAGGGGACGGCAGCCCCGCTTCGGTAGCCCAACGACCTGCAAGCGAAGTCGAGCACTTTACGGTAGCACAGCTTAACGAGGACCAATACCGCACACCCTCGGTCCCTACGCAGACTGATCCAAGTGGCCACCCACACGCACTCTGACTGTAACCAGTGATGCTTGACTTCGGTGATCTGCTGGGAACCGTGTCTTAATGATCAGTCCACTGCGGGATACAAATAATATTAAGAAAAGGAAAAATATCGTAGTACATTCCTATACGACTAAAAAGAGAGAAGGGAAGGGCCAAAGACATGGAACCGGTCTTCTCCCTAGATAGCGTATTCGAGCGTTGCGATCGCCTATTACTAGACTGATTTTCACTCCAAAGCTTGAAAAAGGAAGCCATTAAAAATATTTATTTTACTTGTAATGTTTACAATATGACGCGTTTTTTTAAATTTTAACGAAGCAAACAATAAAATAGTTTGGAAGACTTCGCAAGCATAGAAGACCTTACAAGATGCAACCCAAAATAACTAATGGTGATATTTTACAAGGAATAACACTCAAAACATAGCAAACTTCACACTTTATAGTATGATATTAATCTTCTTGAATTTGTTTTAGGCTCACAACTAGTTAGAATTTATAAATTACAGGAAACTCGTGTGAATAGTAAAATTACGCGTAAACTTAAGCATGAATCATATCAATAAAACTTCCTATAATATTATGCCTGTTCATGCATCGCCTCGTAAGCATAACACAAGTGGAGGGATACCTAAGGAAGTTTTAATACCACAATACTCCCCCTAGATTGCTACTCGAACAACAAAAACTTCATGTGTAACGAGCTAGAGTGTAGACTGTGCTTCCAGATCTTGTCACTTGTGGTGAAATGGCAAGCTTCACTGCCAGTTGTCTCCTTTGTCTTGTTCAGTTGCTGTTTCAGAACTTGTAGACGATGAAACAGGTCTGGAATTCTTTTTAACCAGTACAGGTGCTTCTGAAGTCTTTTCAGGCTCTGTAGAAATGTCCGAAAAATACAGTTTTATTCTATCTACTGATGTTAACTTCTTTTTGTTCAATCGTGAAACTTGTGTCGGTTCTCTTTAAAACTTTGTATAGACCATGATTACTTATTTTTGGTAAATTATTTATTTGGAAGAAATTATGCATGAAATGTAAAAATAAAAAAAATATCCTCTAATAATCGTTAATTTATTTTTGTTTTGTAAATGTACGTTGCAAAGTTCAATTTAATATGTATTAAAAGTTTAAAAAAAACGTATTAAAATAAAAAATACTCAATTAAAATAAAATAAACACAAGGAATTAAAGATTGCAAATTTTTTGTGTGGACATTTTTACAACATATATATCATTAAATGCATCAGTAGTAGCAACTAGTTACTGGCAAAGTGTAAGTAAAAAAAAACACTTTCTTGTCTTTAATTTATTTTCTCTTATTAAAAAAAAAGTTTTTAAGAATACAATTATATTTTTTTGCAAAATAGCAGCCTTTTCCATACGATTTTTTAAACTCGTGCTGATGGGCGGGGGGGGGGGGGNGGGGGGGGGGGGGGGGGGGGGCATAAACGATGTTTCATTTCTAGATAAACGATGCCTAATTTTATAAACACACAAAAAGTTGCTAAGATATCGTAATCAAATTCAGATAAACTAAACAGACGCACTACTGTTAATCGCAGATTGAATTCCCAACTATAAATAGCATGCTAATTTTTTATAATCAAAAATTTTTAACTATTAATACTCAAACACACTCTTATAGTGTGAAAAATAGAATTTAAAATTATGAATAAAACTGCAATAAACATAATAATAAATATAGCTAATTTTTTTAAAAAAGTAGATGTGAAAAACCTCTGACTTAATACTGGTATTACTAAGTTATAATACTATTACTGATATAATATTTATACCAGCTGGCTTGCTTAAATTTATGCATATTATCATAATACTTATTGTTAAACAATTTTATTGGTGATATTTTAATTTTTACCAGTGTTCCGGCATAATTAGTATTTTTTTGGCCATAATGGCAAACCTAACATAAACATAAAGCATTAAAAAAACAAAATTGCGGAATAGAAACAAAATGTGTTAAATGTTAACACAAAGAAAAGAAAATAGCATATTATCTTTTATTCAAAAACTCGACAGTCGAAATGTTACGTAATGTTACATCAGTAATGTACTCTTTTTTGATAAGAGCTCTTCTTATTCTTAAAAATGTGTTTTTAGGAATCACTATTACCCCAGGTTGGATTGGTGTACTTGTAGTTCCCTGTACTTGTGAAGATATATTATGAGCATTTAATGAAGCAAATAGAAAATCAGTTTCTTCTTTCATCGCACATGTGACTTTTTGCTTCATTTCAGATATTTCTTTACAAGTCTTGACACAGGGAATGATGATAATATCTTCAGGAAAACACTGATGAAAAAATTGCATCAACAACAAGAGATCGTCATCATTTCTAGAAAGAACAAAAAAAGTATTATACCTGAAGTCACTATAGAGTTCTACAATGATAAATGCAAAGTTAAGTTGAACGATTTATCATAAAAAATATATATTACGATTACAATATTTTTAAAATTATTTACACTACACATTATAAATACTATGCCTCACAATGTATATCTAGATAATATCTCAATCATTGTTGACGATTTATAAATCATTATCAACAACAATAAATATTGAATGCAATATTGTGATTATTATTGGCAGCAATTAACATCGAATATAACAATTTTGCGAAAACGGATTTTCTTTCAGCTATTACGAATTTCAGAAAAAAAGAAGAAAATTGAGCACTGAAAGTAAGTACACTATTTGAATTTTGTCTGAGTCTTAACACATTTTTTCCCTTTATAAATTTTGTTTTATTTTTTAAAGTATTGGTTGAATTTATTATGAAATGTAAAGAAATTATTAAAGCACAAAATAAAAACATTTATTGAAATGATATCTATAGAAATTTAGGATTAGAAAATACAAATATGTAACAGATATAGATATAACAGAAAAGGTATTGCATGATTTTAAAAAAAAAATTTCTGATAACAGTAACTACTTTTAACGTGAACAAATTTTCTGTCCCCCTTCGAGTTGACATAAACAAGGTTTGACTGTAATTAATTTGAAACCCAAAACTAGAGATTACAAAATTGTTTTTTTAATACTTACTTAACAAATGCTTCTATTTCAACATTATTATTCTCCAAGAAAATAAACTTAAAGTGGATTCCAAACAAAGGTGATATTTCATTTTTAAATATCAGTATTTTTGAAGAAGACATTTCAATTGAACTTAAGAGTTGTGAACCAAGTTCTGACTTCAAGAGCATATTTTCCAGGATCAATGAATTTGAGAATTTATTCGAGACCTTAAAAATCATTCTTTGATTGGTAAGCCTCAAACAAAACAATTTTTCTGTAACTGGAAGTTCTGAAAACAAAACAAAACTTTTGTAAATACATTGAACATAAATTATTTTTACTACACATATTCTCTGAAAGCATTTTCATAAATAAAGACGATTTATGATAACTAGCACCTGGGAGTGTTGATAGAGTTAGGATAGCTCAGGGACTACAATGGTCATCTCTCAAAGGGGCGAACTAGGTTAAAGTCCGGTTGATAGCTACGGTCAATTAAAAAACAGATTCCAGCTCACTTTGAATATCTCCAGTTAAAGTTAGCCTTTTATCCAGATAATTAATATTAAGTTTTTGTAGTTTTTCTCCAGATGCAATGGAGATATAGGTTAGTTCTATTAAAAAATCCTCAGCAAAGATGTGTTTGTCCAAATACTTGATTTACGAATTTCCTTATCTTCTGTGGTTGGCTTTAAAACTATGAGGCTATAGAGGTGAGCATTGACAACCATAAATTTGAAAAGGATTGGTTGTTCAAGGCTAGTGATAAAATAAGATAGAAATAAAAATATTTGACAAACATGAAATTTAACTTACAATTAGTTTCAGTTCAGTACTTTAAAATAATATGAATTGCTTTTTTTTCCTTCTGGGTTTAAAATGAAAGATATAAATTTGAATGCGTAGAAACACATTGAATCCTTTCATTTCTAAAACCCAATTCAGTGCTAATTATTTATAAATGCTTATAATGTAGCGAATCAATCACTCAAATTATCACTTCAATGACAACAATGTTTGCATTGTTTCATTGAAAGGTCAGATGATTCAATATGCTGCCTTAACGGACCAATCAAAACTTGGGTAGCCTTAAAAGTGTAGAAGATATAACTGTCTGTTCAAAACTATTCAAAGCCTTATATTGCTATGAATTTTTTTTTTTTTTTTTGGGGGNTTGGATGAAAGTGACAATAACACAGACCAAAACATAGAACCAAAAATTAAAATTAAAAAAAAAAAAAAAAAACTAAAACCAAATCTATAAGATAAATGCAAACTTAAGAAAAATATCAAAATTATTACAGTCTTGTTAGCCTGCGAGCTAAATTCAAATCGATGCAACATCCTGAATCCGAGGAGTGAACATTGAGAGTGAAAGAGCAAAAGCAGACTTTAGCTCAGTGTTTCATATTATTTTAAGTAAATATACATAAAACTAAACTAAGTGGTTTGACAGCCCATGGAGGGTCAAGGCCTATGATGCCCACCCCAGTTTTTTTGACCTTGAGCTCTGGGGTGCAGGAGATGTTTGGTGGTCTGTGAAATCCCTAGAGTTCAATTGCTTGGTACTCATTTTATTAACACACTGAAGGGATGAAAGGCTGAGTCAACCTTGTGCAGTCTGAGAACTGAATCCCAGACCTATAGTATTAGACAAGAAGTGCTACTGCTACAACTCAGCCACTTGACTTCATGTAAATGTGTACATTACATGCATAATATCTTATAAAAATATGAGACTAAAAACTTTTAAAGTTACATGTTTAAATTAATATTAAAAACTATTTTTTGTGTTTAATTTATATTTTTAGAAAACAGAATTTTATATTCATATAGCTAGAAATTTGTTTTTAACAGGCATGAAATCTGAGCTCAGTTTATACACTGAATACACCTACACAGTAAAATATGGTAAATTAATATTAAATTCTTTTTCTTCAGATATTTTGTTGAGAAAGGTTAACTTTTAAATGCTACCACTTTTCTTGATTTCAAGCATTTTTATATCAAATTTTTAAATCTTTTAGCCCATTGAGATGTCAGAAGAATTCTAAAATATCTGAATTATATTAAAAAAAGTTAGATTTTGCATGTTTTTTAATTATGGTAGTTGACAGTTTTTTTGCACTACAGTTGAAAGTTTTAAGATATTTTGACTTTTTTAGCTCACCTTAATGTGAAGACTTTCTTCTTTTGAATTAAACATGTTTTTGGAAAAAAAGGGAGTATAACAGAATATTTTTTCTGAGTGTTATGTTGTTTAAAAAAATTGAAAATAAGAATTTACGCGATTGTATAACAATTTCATTACTTTTCTTAGGTTTGTACTGTATACAGCAAAGAAAAAAAAAGTTTTTTTTATAAATAATAATACAGACCATAGTGATGAATACAAAACTTATTTTCCCCATATATAGTGAAGAAAAATGATAATTATAATGTTTTATTTTGACACATCAGCTACAACTAGCTTCTTATACTAGTCATGAAAATATGTCATAAAATTCACTGTATCTTGAAATAAAGTTATTATTTAACAATTCTAAACTATTATTATTTAACAATTCTAAACTATTATTATTTAACAATTCTAAACTATTATTATTTAACAATTCTAAACTATTATTATTTAACAATTCTAAACTATTATTATTTAACAATTCTAAACTATTATTATTTAACAATTCTAAACTATTATTATTTAACAATTCTAAACTATTATTTAACAATTCTAAACTATTATTATTTAACAATTCTAAACTATTATTATTTAACAATTCTCAACTATTATTATTTAACAATTCTAAACAATTATTATTAAAAAATTCAAACATTTATAATCTAACTACACAATGTAATCCATTAAATCTATAAAAATAACCAATAAAGCAAACATCAATCTAATATTTTTTTTTGAAGTTGTGAAGTTTAAATATTTTTAAGGCATTTTAATAACAATATTGAAAAATTTATTCAGACCATTTACAGGGTTTCCACTCAATTTCAGAAGAAAAAAAATTCCCTGACTTTCACAGGTACCTGACCATATTTTATCTATATCATGCAATTTTTACACCAGAAAACTTTAATTTTTTTTATTTGTTTTGCAAAGTATTAGATTTTATGAGCAATAAAAATATTATTGAATGAGGATGAGAACATGTCAGTTTGACTAAAATGCAAAATTTTTATAACAAATAATTGTAATAGATGCTAGAATTATTTATCTCCAATCTCAATAACCAATTATTGTTATTGACAATTCAAAGACATGTTATTTTCCAGGTATGATATAGGAATTTTCCAGATTTCTGTAAAAGTTCCCCAATTCGGGGTTGCCACAGAAAAAAATGAACAAAATAGCTGCTTTTAGTAGCCTGAAGCATGAAAATAGCTGCTGCTGAAAACTATGAAAATAGTTGCCGAAATAAGAACAAAAAAAATTCACTAATATGACTAAAACTTTATTAAAAGACTTAATTGTCATATACCATGATTCATTTAGTCAAGTTGGTGGCAAAAAGGACGATTTTTATAAATTTAGTGTTTTGACCATAAATTTTTATATAAAAAAAATTAAATACTTTTAATAACTAAAATTAATTCAAAATAATACGTTTTCATTTAAAAAACTTACTGTTTTTAAAACTTTTTCCCTTTTATCAATAATTGATTCAGCAAATATACATATATATCGCGAAAAGTGATTATTTAAATTTGACAATTCACGCATCATAATGTCGTATTAAAAATTGGGGGGGTTTAAAATCCTCTAGAATTTCGTAGAAATAACTGTTGAAAAGGCGCTCAAGAAATAAAATAGACTTACAATGCAATCTGTGCAAATTGAGTGCATTAAAAAGTGATAATTCAAATTTGTAATTCAAAATTTTAATAATTTTTTATTTTCTAAGGAAAAAAAAAAATTCATTGTGTACAGAAGCTCCTGCGGGCAGCAGTTTGTCAACCCAATTTATGCTAAAAAACATCACTAGGAGCACAGAAAAGTCTCCCAACAGTCTCCTTTCCCTGAAAATAGTTGATTTTTTTAATAGCCTTTTCAGGCAAAAAAATTGACTTAGGCTGAAAATAGTTGCAAATAGTCACATTTTAGTCACCCGTGACAACCCTGCTAATTTTTGGAGTTAAAATAAAATTCCCTGTCAATTATAGGTTTTCCCTGACCTGTGGGAGCCCTGATTTATCACTAATACTATGTCAAACGATAATATAGGATATCGTGAACATTATAAAGAACAAAAAATATCAAATACGATAATAGAATTTTAAAACAGCAGTATTGAAATTCTAATATCACTTAGCACTAATTTTTACTGAGCTAAATACAGTAAATTATTCAGTAAAGAAAAAAAAAAGAGTTTTAATAAATACAGACCACAGTGATTAATGGATAAAATGTTAGCAACATCTAGGGAAGTAGTGAGAGGCATCTGGTTTTGCGGAAGAAACTTGTCACCTTGAGGCAGAAACAATTCATTTCGGAACTCCTCTTGAGATCCTGAATACCAAGATAAAACAGCATGCACTTCGATAGAGTCTGCACAAAAATGTAGAAATTCCATGCAGGATAAAATAGAGAAAGTTTCTTGAGGTTTTAACTGATTTAAACTATTGTCTTCTAAGGAAAAAGATGATGATGAGGAATGGACAAATATTTTCTGGCAACAGAATATTTTATGATTGTCTATGATGATTTTTAAAGCTGGATAACAGATAACACTGAAAAAAAAAGAGATCACATGTATTAGAAAAGGGGAAACATTTCATTTAAAAAAAAGAAAATTTAATTTGCTTATATATTAAAATTTATCATTAAATATGGTATCATCTATTTTTTTTAGTAATACTAATACAGTATGTTTGTAATATTTATATCATTTTAAAGGCTGAACGCTCATTGATTTTTTTTCTTCTGTTTCTTCAAATTGTTTGATGAATTTTATTAGAAGCTCTGACAGTTTTAGTATGCATATACCTTTTCAACTCACTATCATGTTTTTAAGAAAGCATTGAACACCACATAATTATTGGAATAGAATAGTCTTAAGTTACAGTTGGTTAAATTACATAAATAGATACATGTAAAACACAGACAAATCTCAGATGGAAATTTTGAAATCAAAATAGAGAAATGTTGAGGAAAGGCCTAAGCATCCTGTACTTATTCCAGATCAAACCATTGCTCTACTGCATAGTTTCAATGGAGCATCATTCCCTCTGGTTTCTAAAGCCTAGAGTTAGTAGTCAGTACCACCTGTTCCCTAATTTAAAAGACAATTAGGTTGAAAGCTCTTTGACAAGGTGTAAGAAGAAGCTACAATATAACAGAAAGATGGTATGACATGGAAACACTGTCTTAAAAAATGTATCAAAAGAATTGAGGATTGTATAAAACAATCAATCTTCAAAATTATGACATTATAAAAAATAAAGATACCTTTATATTTCTAAAAAATATTAATTTTAACAAAAATAATTGTAATGAAATTTTAACACAAAAATTAATACCCAAGTAAGGTACGAATGTTATGCACTTTATCTTTAAAATACGTTGCCTTTTGGCAACTCTTATCTTTTCGCTGCTTCCCTCGGATTTTTCCTAATTTTTCTGTGTTAATCATTTATTGCTCGTCAAGTTTTCTTTTGTACCAAGACTAAAGCCCCAACCTTAACATTATTTTTACTTAACTGTCATTTGTGGAGTTTTTGGACCTTATTTAAATAATCTCTCTTCTCAAATCTCCAAATTTTTTAAGAAATTTATAAATTTTTTCAATTTACTGAGTCTATTTTAATTTATATCTGTAAGTTGGTGTTCTGCGATGGAAGTGATGTATCACCAAATAAAAAAAATGCCCTGGTGATAGGGTTTCAAAATCAGTTGACAATGGAGTCTATAGCCTGGAGTTTAAGACTCCTTCAATTTCTGTTAAAACCATGATGAACTCTTCCAAAGTAAAATTAGAGCATCCTGCTATCTGTTTTAAGTGAAATTAAAAATATTTAATGCTGGATTCGTATTATCCTCTGAAACTTTGAGATCTATGGGGTTATAATACCAATAAATTTTTCTTCAGTGCCAATGGTTTATCTGGTGAATAATAAATTCTGAAAAGCCTTTTCAGTTTGACATCTGTGTCGACAAAATTCCATTCATTGTCAAAGAAAATTTTAGAGGCATCACGAAAAAAACCGTTATAAGATAGCTATAAACCTTATTGATGGTAAGCCAGTCACAAAATCTTAATGTATTGATTTAGTACAGAAACATACATAAATTGAAACATATATCCTAATAAATACACCTTTCCTTTGTTCTTTAGTAGAAAACTTTACTATTAATAGCCAAAAAATAATGATACTTAAGCGTAAAAAATGCAATTGAAATTATTTTATTAAAGAATAATAAAAACTTATAATTTATTTTATAAAATTGGGTTTTTTATCTATCAATTATAAAAAGTGATTATGAAAAAGATGAATAAGATTTTTAAGATATATAATTTACACAATGAAGTTCTTTTTTTCAAACCAAAAAATTTAATTACAGTTTCATTAATTAAAAAACTGATATAAAAACATATTAAATATGAAGATCAAAAATTTATAAAATCTTTATTGGAGTTTATTCTAAAAAATCTTAATGTTTGTAATTTATTTTAACATGTAATATGTTTGTTGAAGATACCTGTCATTTTCATTCTTGAATGTCCAACATAAAAACCACCTGCTGTCAAAAAACTTTTTCCAATGATTTAGAATTTTTAAGGATTGCTTATCCCTTCTCTTATCCATGTCCATCTTATTATTTTCATCATTACAAAGAATGAGATTAACCAAGGAATCCTGAAAAGTCTATAAAGAAATTTTAAAAAATTGAACTTATAATATTCTTAATTACAATTGACAACAATTATTAAATTAATTTAGCTACCACAACATTAATATGTGGACAAAAAGGACATACAGTGGAAACTAAAAATTTAGATTTTTTGTGTTGAAATTGGATATTTTAAACAAACAATTCAAAAGAAGAAAAAAGAAAGAAAATATGACAAATTCCATATTAACATAATTTTAATTTTTGGAAATAAATAAATAATCAGTTTTTGTAACAGTATAAAAGTAGCTTAAACAAATGGTAAGAAACAAAGTTAAGGGATTAAAAATAAGGAAAAATATACAAATAAGAAGATTAAAAAAAAATTCCATTAGCATTTTTATTAAGGAAGTAGTTATAGGTAAAATAACAACAACAACAACAAAATGCACTGCTAATACAATTATTAAACAACTGATATTACAAGATTAAATTCAATTACTAAAAATAGAAATATTTTAAATAGATAGAAAAAATTAATAAATAAATTAAAATTAAATAATTTGGGCTAATATAAATAACAATAATTTGACAAAAAAAAATAATAATAAGGGAAGATAATCTAGATTATTTGCAATTATTTTTGTTAGAATGAAATAAAATAAGTGAATTGCAAAAATATTAGACAGCCAAGTATTTATTATTTAAGGAAAAAATAATAACAAATAGTGATTTGTTTCAATAGGAATTGAGATAATTCACAATAAAAATAAAGTTCTTATCATCAAAGATTCAATTTAACTCACTGCTCAAATGAATGATTCAAAAATTTAATATATAGTTCTTTTTTATTAACATTTTTAAATTGATTTTGGCAAAACGATACACATTAAATAGTATTTTGCAATGACTTCACTAACTTACAGAAGTTTCCACTTCACTGCAATCACAAGAATCAGTCTTTAACCTGTTCAAAGCATCTAGAATTGCATTCTTTTTTTCTTCAATTTCACAAACTTTTTTGGCAACAGCAAGTTTACCAGACTGCAAAAAATTTAGAAATCTTTCAAAAACAAATAAACATTAATAGCGAAATATGTTTTGCAAATATATAGTTAAAATTTCTTTATATGCATTTCAAAAACTCCAAATGAGGATAGAGTATACTTTGAACTACGTCTAAATGAAGCAAAACATGAATAAAGCACAAATAAAGGTATAATAATGGGTGTATAGTTTTGGTTCTATAAACAAGAAACTTTCTTGGGGTCTAAACAGGAAATCCAAATTAATAATAGAAAATGAAGGACACAAACACATGCAAAATGGTTTGACTAGTAGGGAAAGATAATAAAAAGGGAGGTAATAAATAGGTGTGTGGCAGCATGAAGAAAAAATTAAAATCAGAACAGATTGCTTAACTTTGGAGAAAGGATTAGATACTAAAAAGATCACTAACAGAATTTCTTAAAAATATGGAATGATTTCTAGAAATCAAAGATGGTAGATGAATTTAGTGTTTAAACATAAAGGTCAGTTCTTGTTTATAAAACCAAAACTATAATATGTCCATTTGGCTTCATTTTTTTTTTGTGCATAATTCATTTAAAAATAGTTCAAATTTTCTTCGACATTTCTAAAAAAAATAATAGATGCTTTTAATACCATTCACACATTAAAGAAATTTAAAGACAAGTATATAAGTATCTAGATAGGAATATTAGAGTCAGTGCAGGGATTTAATTAATATATATAAGTGCTCATGTACTGTTTCTTAAAATAAAATTGTACATAGTTTTAAATGTTCATAATCTTGGTAGCAATTTCAATTGTAATATGCAGAATGTCAAAGGGAAAAAAAGTACAATCTGATGTGAAACTTTATCGAAAACACATAAATATTTTCATAAAACTGACATTTGGAACAACCAGTGAGTTCTGCTTGGCATCCCAAGATGCCATGGCATACATTGCTGAAATCCCTGCCTTACGCTAAAGGGTTATTGCAGAATGACTAACTTCTAACACATAAATTAAAGTGCTAGAGAAAAATTCAATAAAAAAACATTGATGAGAGGGCATGCCCATAATAACTACACACAAATTTCGTCTAATTTTTGTAGATTAACATGTCTAGGAAAGCATGTCAAAATTTTATGATTTTTTGAGATATGGTCTTGTTTGAGGAGGCAAGGGAATGGTTACAAAGACTCAAGTATTTATACTAAAGAATAATTCAATATTAATTTTTAAAAAAAACTTATTGTTTTCCAAATAAAAATTGTTTTAAATTTTTTTATTAGGACTGTTTTGAGTATAAACTAAACTGTAGGATACAGTTATTTGGAGATTCAAATTAATTAAAATTAATTTTAATTGCTAAAATTATTTTAAAACTTACAAATAAATTATGTGTCACAAATTTAAATAGAAAAAAAAAAGTTTTTTTTAAAAAAATGAAATAGTTATGCAAAAACTACAACAAACTTAAAAAATAACAAACAAAAAAAACAAACACATTTATTAAAATAATTTGTATTGTAATGAAAAAACATGAAGCTTCAATTCAACCAAATCAATGTTTACAAAAATTATAATTTATGAAGCAATGATATAAAGCTACACCACTATGTTTATGCTGTTAAACCATCTGCTACCTCTGCATGTAAAAAAAAGAAGAAGAATTATTTGCAAGATAAATTAAGGTTATTTTATAGTTAACATTACGCTAGAGGTACACTTATGATCTATTGGAGATTGTCTGAAATTAATCTTTAATATTGCTCCAAAGACAATACAGATGCATGCACACATTGCACTACCAAATTTCAGATAGGGCAGCAGATGTCACCTGATCTTTACAACACAATCCCCGATCACATGTGGACATTTCATATCTCTAAGGCCACCAGGGACATTACATTTATTTTGGAACTGAATCACTAAAACACGAACGGAGAAAGAACAGTTCTTTAAGACATCTAGAATCAAACCCTGGTTGAAGCAGCCACAGAGAAGCTTTTAATATAGAGTTTGAAATGATGCATAAGGAAAAAACATCAGAAATACATCGATTAGCAAAAGTAGTAGTAGTAGAGGGCTAAAATAAAGCACCTATTTAATAGTAAACAAAATAATCATTTTATATTTAAAATTAGTTTAAAAGAATAGTAATAAAATTTATTACAGAATAAACTGTAAAGATAGTTTTAAATTTTAATTGAAAATTAAAGGAGTTAATACCTGAAGTTTTGCATTGAGTCCAGAAATTGTTGGGTTCAAGCATTCAACAGGAATAGTAGGTTGATCTAAGATATCCTGAAACAAAATGAAAAGGGTGAAATTACTTAATAAGAGAATATTTCAGAATCAAGATAATAGTTAAAAGATGTTTTCTCAACACTTATTTTGAACGCAAACACATTGCAACCCAAAAATAATTTTTAAAAACCTATTGACTAAAATAAGAAGTTAGATTACTGGTTTTGAAAGTAGTTCAATAAACATAATTCAAAAATAAATAGGCACTAATTTAGGATATCAATACATTAAAATTTTTTGACATTCAGACTTTTATTTCCCTTTTTAATTATTCTGTAAATAAAACGTGTTTGAAACAAATATAGTTCCAAGGTTTATTTAAAAATCAAAGAAACAATTGAAATACAGAAAAAAAAAAAACTAAAGAATTTCTTTTTTCACATAAAATGTTAAAACTTGATGAAATGTGCAAAACTTAAACAATTTATTAATTCAAATATATTATATACATGCTTTAATATTTATTTTTAAAAAAAAAATAATAATAACGGAATTGTAACCAAATACAGAAGAAGCAATTCTTTATTAGAAATAATAATTACCCATGCACTTAGAAAAAAAAAACAGTAGTAAAAGTGGAAATTTTTTTTAAAAAAAAATTTCATAAAGGCATTAAAACTTTTTGAAAAATATATTTATACTTTTGAAAATATACATATAACTTTTTGAAATTAATAATTAGGAAAATCAGTCAAATAATAATAAAGGAGATAAGAAAGTATGACTAGCAAGCGTTCTGCTTAGGAATAAGAGATTTTATTCTTTCAATATTTTAAACTTATTCACCAAATTTATCAACAGATGACACAGCTCAGAAGAATAATTGTAAAACAATATTTTCTGCTGCATTCCAGACAATTTTAACAGCTAATTTCATTTGGATGTCTGTTAATTCTGAGTACAGACCACACGTTTTTAAAGTTGTAAATTGTGGTTATTTTGAAAGAATTTTTTTTCTTCATATTTAGCACCATTTGTTGACAAATTCTGAAACTTAGAATAACTAAACTCTGGTTTTCTGAGCAGAGATCAGCAGACCAACATTTCTATTGTTAGCATCTATAAAAAGATTTTAATTTTACACAGTATGTAAGGCTATGGTGAAAGGGGAATATAGGCAATCGACATTTTCCTACAGGCAAAATATACAAAAAAAAAAAACTCTTTCTTTATAAAAACAAGAATTTTAAATAGAATCATTTATATATAACAACCCTGAATAGAAAAGTTTTTTGTTTTTTAATTCAATGAAAAAAAAAACATACTCACTACAGGTACAAAGTTCGATATATCCATTAGAATGTAATCTTCTTGAAAACCATTAAAAGTTCCATCTTTAAGAAGTAACAGCTGTTTAGAACCAGTCATTAGAACATCAGCAACAACAATACTTTGAATCTCAGTCCAATTCTTTTTCAGCTAAATTTAAAGTAATACATTTAAACTTCAAACATAAATATTTTTCATCAGAAACAATATTAGATGCCGAACTGAAACATTAACCTTTCAGCAGTTAGTCAATACCCCACCAGGAGTAGAAATTTAAAAAATTTAGTAGTTGGTCTAAAAGATTTGTTACGGCAAATTATTAGTCCATACACATTAACACTGATCGGTTTACGTGTCTGCAATATTTTTTTAAAAAAGTCAATATACCTTGAGCGGCGATGGCTCAGGGGATAGAGCGTTCGCCTCCCAATGAGACGAACCGGGATGGCATCCTTGTCGATATGAATTCCGCATCCGGCTTGCACTGACGTGAAATATCCTCAACGGTAGACGGATCATTGGTTAGTCCCCTTGCCGTCAGGCTAATCAAGGAAGGTTCTCGTGGCCTTCCTCTCCATGTAACGCAAATGCAGGTTAGCTCCATCAAAAAGTCCTCCACGAATGCAAATTTCCCCCAATACTTGATCCAGGAGTTCCCTTGTCTTCTAGATTAGGTTCAAAATTGCATGGCTACGGAGCTGAACACTAGTAGTCATACACCCATAAAATTGGGTCGGCTGTTCAACGACAGTTATAAAATATAGTTAATTTAAATGAAAAATTTTGATTATAATGTTACAACAATGTAGAAATGTGCTGTTTCGTGACTACGTCTAAAACTTGAACCGGAAAATTAAAAAAATCAAGAAAATAAAAAGTGTCTGGGAAGAGATACAAAACATATAATCATTCCGCCCTGATTTATTAAGTCATATAGAGGTATTAGTAAGAGACATTAGAAACAACAGAGTCATCTAATGAAAATGTGACCCAAAATTTTATTTAAGTAACATCTCTGAATTTAGATTATGTAAATTCTTCCAGATGATTAAAATGTTAAAGAAACATGCTATTGTGACATGTTATTAAGACATGTGTTTTTTTTTCATTTAATAAGTTATCATTACATAACATTGTTATGAAATTTATTTATCATATGAGTCAAATAATTAACTGGCTGATGATAAGTTGTGATTTTCACCAAACTTTGCAAGGCACCCATTTAATGGAAAAATATCAGTGGTAGTAGTACTTAATTTACACTACACAAAGGATAATTGACAATGGTCTGCAAAACATCCTTAAAGATGATCCGAAGATATGTCATCCCAATTTTGATCCTTTGCATAAGGGATTCAGTGCTTTCATCATAGAAAAAAAATGGGTGAGAATTTCTCAAAAACAGGGTGAGATTTCAGAAAGTTAAGTGAGATTTCTAAAAACTAAAAAAACACAAATAGACTTGAAAAAAAAAATCATTTCTTTTATTATAATACATTTTTAACGTCTTCTATTTTTTAAAGCATTGAATATTCTTGCTTCATCATCATAGAAGATTTTGCCTTTGCTAGGTATTTGTCCATCTTACATTAGTGCATAAGAAATTTGAAAGTCTTACATGAAAAAGCCTTACCTACGGTAAACACGTGGTTGCAGAGAAATGTGTTCTGAAAGGGGTTCCGTGGTTCGGTTGTGTTCTGTTGTTCGAAAAGGTTCTGAACAATACTGGTAAATAGGGAAGCTAGATAACGGAGCAAATGTTGAAAATAATGAAAGATCCAGGAAGAAAAGTGAAACGGATTTTATTCTAAATAGCGTAATTTGAAGCATTTTCCAAAATGCGATACATTCGCGAATTTTAAAATTGATTTATAGAATGCGCGAATTTCTCGCAGTAATAATTTTTTAATGCGAGAAAAGAAAAAAATATGCGAGATTCTCGCGTTGTAGTGAAAACACTGGGATTACTCTGTTCCTTTGGTAGACCCAGGATCTGAGCGGTAAGCCTAGTGCTCACAGTTAATCAGTTTAATGAGGACCAATACCAAGCACCCTTGGTACCTTTGAAGACTGATAAAAGTGGGCAACTACCTTTCAGATGCTTGGCTTAAGAGATCTACTGGAAATGGTGTCTTAAAATTAATCCAGGATGGGACAGGATAAGTAGCAAAATGATATTTTTATTTTTTATAGTAAATATAAAATATATAAATAGAATATTTTATTCAAGATTAGGAAGATTACCATAACAGTATCCAAGTTGAAAGAAAAAATCAGTAAGTTTTGACAACTACTAGGCAAAGGTACTTGAGCAACTAATAAAATAAATCACAGAATAGGGAAAAGTAGAAAGTAAAGACTTGCAACCACTCCCAAGCATGCTACGAAGTAGAACATTTTTTTCAAATAAAAACAAACAAACAGGCATTAGCTCCTGTAGCTTTAAAGGTAATAGTTGGCTCAAACAAGTACCTACTGTCTTAGGAATATCCTTATTTAATTTCAGTAATACTTTTAATATATCTCCGTATTGTGAGCTATTGCTATAACTACAATTGCCAAATAGATTTTAGACTTGCATTAAAAAAAAAAAAAAAAACTTAGAGGTTTGCCCAAAGAGGATTTCAAGTTATGCCCTTTAGTTAATACCCTTTTGTGATGTTGTTCTTATTTAGTTTCAACCAGGAAGTTGCCAAGACTTTTCAGTTATTCTGCTACAGATCACAATATGGTAATTTTCCTTTTATTTTCATTGAAATAGTAAATTTATACCTGAAATTCATTAGAATGCTTATTTAATTTAAAAAGAGCTACTTCTTTTTCACAAGATATAAATATCATAGATGAATCATCCAATGAATGAGGATTAAGATCTTCCAATATATAAGATACATTATGAAAGGGCAGAACAGTTACATATTTCAGTTCTCCTTTAAAACAAATAAAACATTCAGATATAGTGCAGATAACTGAAAAATTGTTCTTCCAATTAATATCTTCGAATTCAGATACGCTGCTAGAAATGTATAAATTAGATATATGAACATTCTTAGCATGGCTTTTTAGAAATTGTGGAAAGAAGGTTTTGACACTAAGTTCTTTACAATTTGTGACAGCATCAGCTGATATTTCAGCGGCTAATATGCCGATTTCTTGCTCATTATTTACAGTGCCAGAGAGAACGAGTACTATTACACTTAATAAATTATTCTTAACAATCTGTCCAATACATTCAACTTGTAACACTTTCGTCTGCTTCAAATGAAATAACGATGAAATATTCAAACTGATTCTATTATTTATTTTAGTAAATGGGTAAAAATCTACTGAATCATTAGACAATGTAAGTAATAAAGGACTGTCAGTTACAAATATGTTGCCATTAGGGATGATAGGCATAGACAAACATTCCAAATAGTGAATCTCAATCAGAGTTTCTAGAACTTCTGAATATATTAAAACGTTACAATCCCCCTTAAAACCAATCACTAGAATTACAATACATTTCAATCCCAAAATTGAATTGTTAGTTGTGTCCACGACAATTGTTTTCGGTTTGAGTGATGTTCTTATAGGTATTTCCAAACGGAGTAGTTCCCGGAAATTTTGCTTTGGTAAATTAATATGTTCATAGACAGTCAGGAAAGCATTGCGTCCACTGATGATAGGTATAAAAAGTTTGCCGTTGTGGAAGCATATTTGATTAAACATAGCAGAACAAAATGTTAGATTGCATTGTTTCTTAAAACTTGTTTAAAAAATATTTATAAGAGCAAAACTTCGCGCCATATAAACAAAAACAAAACGTCTGCTTCCTTTCATTGTTGCCATTTATATTTTACCTAAAAAATAAGGTTAATCAGCTGAGATTTAATTTTTAATCTTTAAATATTATTTTATCCCCAAAACTTGCAAGTTATGAATTTTTCTAATCATAAAAAATTATTTTTAATCAAATCAAATAAAGAATTACAATCCGTCACTCTGGCGGTGAAAGACGAAAGCAACCATTCCAGCGATTTGATTGTTTTCTCTATAACTCCTTTCTTTCCCAAGAAAATGACAGTTGAGGATTCAATACAAACATGTCTGTGCTCTTGAGTAGTATTAATGTTTGATATTTGCCGGTGATGACTTGTGGATTACCTCTGTGTTAAAATTTGAATGTTTTATAGTGTCCGCCCCTTACAAATGACTTTGTAATTTGGTAAGTTTTTTTCTAAAATGTACAAATTCTTTTATTATACTGTTTAATGAATAGCTATCAGGCACTATTGAAAATTCTATATTACTGTTCAAAATTTATTATTTCGTAAAGCTATGTTCAAATAAGAAAACTTTATTTTTATTTTATTTTTTTAAATTTCTCATGAGTTTTCTATATTTTATTTATGGCTAGTGAAAAATTATATGAATTCAGCATTTGTAATTTCAGTAAACTTCTATTTTGCCTATATCATTGACTTGGTTTTCAAAGAGGATTATGGAGTTTTAATGTAAAACGCGATTTATGATGTCTTGTAATTATAGTTTTATGACTTACATCATTCTTTCAGGGTCCAAGTTTGATCTAATATAGAATATTTTAATAAATTCATTCCATAATTTGACAGGTCAGCCTTATAGACTTCTGTGATTTTATGAAGTATTAAATGCTAAGGCAAACATTTTTTAAAAATATTTTGTCAAATTTGAACTATATATATGTGAGTGAATTATATAAGACCAATATATTCTAATTCTGTTAACTTTTTTTGGAAAAAAAAAATATTTTCAAATTTTGTTTATAGATGGAAATTAAGGGTAGAAATTTGGAAAATTTTTTCTCTGGTCCAAGGGATGAAAGATATTACTAATCTGTACACATTTTCATTGGTCTGTTACATGCCTATTAGTTTTTAAAAATTACATGTTGATTAGTTTTTTTATAATTAGTAAAGTGAATTAAATGGAAATATTACTCTTCTGTTATAGAGGGCTTTTGGCAATTGTTAAATTTTTCACTAATTCAAGCACCGAAACATAATATATCAATAATAATTCCCTGTTTATTAGTTTTAATAATTTTATTAATCGAAGGATGAAAGTGCCATTGCCTGGTAGTCGTTTCTTTGGTCTATCCAATACTTATTATTATTTTTTTTTTTTAAAGTTGAGAGCCAATACCTCCAATATTCCATACACTGACCATTGAGGTAAAGGGTTGCTTTTGTAGTGCCAATTTCCCTCACTGATTTGGGAATTTTTTTATGAATTCCTTTTAATAGAACAGTACTAAAATTACAATACAAAGAAAGTAATGCTCACAATATGATTAAAAAATGCTGTTTCGTGATAAAAATATAGACCATGTCACAAAATTAAACATTAAAAAAGAATCAAAATTATATACATTGATTGTTGGACCAGGGCACAATTGATAATTTGTTAGAGGAGTCTGAATCACATTTTAGTTGTCTCAAACTAATGGACCACCTTTTATTTCAACTTCTGGAAAATGTTAGATTGTGAATTTTTCTTTATGAAGTAACTTCAAAAAACGTGTTGTACAATTTAAAATTTTTATTTCATTTTTTAGTAAAAATTGTTTTCATTGTGAAATAATCACTTGAACTGTTGTAGCTTTCTCTACATCATATCAGTGAAAATTCTTTTGTCAGCAGACACTTGGACTTTCTCTGTAAATTTTCAAAATTTAAGCATTTCTTCTATGTACTAGTTAGCTTAGTAATAATAATAAAATTTTAAATAAAAAATAGATTAAATGTAAGTAGAAGTTCTTTTAATTCATTTAATTTGCATTAGTCATGAAAATTAAAAGAGAGAAAATATTTTTGATCCGATCGTATTTAAGGAATTCATTATTAAAATCTGTTATTAATAATTACATATGTTTTTTAGCTTTTGTAGATAAATTTTAATAAAGTGATATTTTTTACAATTTTTCTGAAATTAGTTTTATTTAAAATTTTATACATTTATCTATTTTATATCCAGTCTATTTTGTAAAGCTGAAGAGACATTTAAATTTTTTTTCTGTGAATTTTATCATTAAAATTTACTTAACTCAAATTGAGTATTATATTTTAAGAATTTATAAATTGTTTTTACTTAGTGTTAGAGTACAATTTGATCATGAACTAAAAATTTCATGTGTAATAAATTTACATTTGTATCAGCCTAATTTTTGAAGCTTTGTCATTAATTAATTTATTTGATTAATATATTTGTTTAAAAATGCACATTTGGAAGACATTGTAAATTAAAAATCCAATGATTAAATTTGAAAAACTAACTTTATATTAAAAAATGAGATGTTCCTTCAACTAATTATTAGTTTGTCACCTTAATTGTAATTATTTCAATCCTAAAATTTTTTAAACTTTGAAATTAGAGAGATTCAAAAGTGTAAGATATATAAAAGTCTGATTCGTATTAAAATTATCAGATTCAAATTATTTGTTCAAATTTTATGTTCTTGAATATATGTATACCATATACATATTTGAATTTTTTCAACTTAAACTAGCTGGTTCCTTTTCTTTAAAAAAAAAAAAAAATCCAGGTGTAGCAGAATGCAGTGGCATTGTCACCCTGAACATCAGTTCTTGCAGACTGCTACGGATTTAAAGTGATGATGATTTACGAAATATCGCCCATAATATTAGAATAAAAAAATATTACACATTCAATTGAAAAACTATAGTTTTTTTATGCGTACATAGCACTTCTGTTACTTTAAATTAGTAACATAAATATTTGTTATTAAAAGTATCTTGCAGAAAGATATTAGTGCTAAAGAGTTGCTGCAGGAAGCCCAAACAAATTGAGATCTTACGTAATCTATATCTATTCTTAAGTAAAGAAAAAAAAGCCAAAAAGGTTATATATTTCAAATTAACATATTTTCAGGAGTTTATTTTTCAAGAAAAAGACATTGATAGTCTTCTAAAGACTACAGAAAATGGAGCTGAAGTTTCAATCAATAGATGGTATGGCGAAGGCCCATTTATATTAAATGCAAAATTAAATATCAGCATCCAAACTGTAAAAGAGTTGTTATTCTGACTAAGAATACATAGTTAAATGTATCATGCTTATGTTTGTAATCAGAAGTCGGTGTGGCACACAATATGATTAAGTTTATTTTATTATAAGCTAAATTCTTAAATCATAATAAAGTTTTTGTTTAAAACTAATCTGTTAAAAGATGAACATGCCATTTTTATTTCAACCATTTGTGTGCCATTTTAGAGCAAAAGAGAAAAATAAAGCACTGGGTAAAAAGTAGTATTTGCAGACTTGCTAACTGGTACGCTTTTTGTAAAATATTTTATAAATTGGTAGACACATAAAAACTAAAGCTTTCAAAATGTTTGGTTATAATGCCAACATTTTAAAAGCCTCACCACAAAAGAGCTGAAACAAAGTCACTTTGCATGTGAACTTTTAAATCATATGTAGTGGTGTGGAAAATAGGTTTAAATGAATAAAAAATAATAAATTAAAACATTAACTTAGCTACCACTGGAATAAATTTTTTTAAAAAGCGTAAAAAGCCCAGAATTTGCTCACTTTATAACTTTTACCATTTATCATAAAATTACCTTTATTTGTCACTTAATAAACAAACAAAAGCCTATACATGTAATGTCATTCCCTAAAGAATGATCCCAATACTCTTCAAAGTAAATTATAATATACTTCGTCTTAGCAGCAAAGCTTTATAACCAGATAACAAAACTGACTTGCTTTATAGAAAAACGTATAGGTTGAAATGTGATTTTCTACATCGTAGGTGTAGGGCCACATTCAGGTTATTTATGAACGAGCTTAGTCTGCAATTAAGTAACCCTTTTTTTTCCTTCTGTACATTCCATCTGTTTTTAAAAATAATATTTATATTTTGATTTTCTATGCGTGAACTAATCTAAATTTTAATTAACGTTTTTACATTGGAAATTTTCTTTTTTTGCAGATGAATCATGAACAAGTTATATTCTGTTATAATGTTTCCTTTTGTGACTTGAATTCTTAAGAAATGTCTATTAGTGGTGAAACGGTTTTGTATAACTGTCAACCTCTGGATTGCCCAGAGAGTGGAACAGTGTATCCGCATATGGTTTCTGTGCACAATGCCAAGAGGAGTATCAATAATTATTCTTCAAAGAGATATCCTAAAACCTCGAGGTCTATGTCAACATGTGTTCCAAGTTCTTCCTACGAAGCTCTTCGATATGCTGTAGCTGCTTTGAACCGTTTAGATGATTTTAATTGTGAGNTTTACATTGGAAATTTTCTTTTTTTGCAGATGAATCATGAACAAGTTATATTCTGTTATAATGTTTCCTTTTGTGACTTGAATTCTTAAGAAATGTCTATTAGTGGTGAAACGGTTTTGTATAACTGTCAACCTCTGGATTGCCCGGAGAGTGGAACAGTGTATCCGCATATGGTTTCTGTGCACAATGCCAAGAGGAGTATCAATAATTATTCTTCAAAGAGATATCCTAAAACCTCGAGGTCTATGTCAACATGTGTTCCAAGTTCTTCCTACGAAGCTCTTCGATATGCTGTAGCTGCTTTGAACCGTTTAGATGATTTTAATTGTGAGAAAATCGGTGCTGGATTTTTCTCCGAAGTTTTTAAGGTAAACTTTTGAATTTTGTTATTTGATTGACTCTTTGAATTGAATGTAGGGTGTTATAAGATCCTAAATAACGTATTATGCTAGCTCTTTGAATGTTAGAAATTATGCTAACTCTTTGATTGTTAGAAATCAACCTTCAAACAAAAATCAGAAATTACTGAAGTTTGTGAGTATTGTTAGATTCACTCTGTTCTAATAGTTACAATATTTGCCATTGTAACTATTGCAGATTTCTGTTATCTAGGGTTAGTAACAGAAATCTACACAACTACAGTAGATTTTCTTTCTAACAAATAAAGAATACCGCCAAGAACTGAAAAGGATAATGTAGCATGGTCTAGATGCAGGTACCTGAATCATTCATAAGTATATTGGTTTGTTCATATGCCCAAATCACTAATAGAATTCCTACTGACAACTTTGTGAATTAAATGCAAAGTATTTAAAAAAAAAGAAAAAAAGAAATAGGCCTTTTAATTTTATTTGACGAGTTGAGTTCATAATTTAAGAACCTCATATTATCAGCGACCAGAAGGATTTCACTCTAAGAGTGAATTATTTTTAGTACTGTGCTTTTTTTCGTTCTGAGTTTTTCAATATTTCGTGGAGTGTTTTCAGTGTTGAAAGTTCTGTTTGTGAAGTATTAGTGAGTTCACCATCTTTTTCATTCAGCGCCCTTTAGGTTCAAATATGCTATATTCTTTTTAGGAAGTAGTGTAGGTTGCTTGTGTTTCTGTATATTTGTTAAAAAATTTTATTGGTTCTGAATTCAGTTAAAAACTGTTCTTTTATTAGCTAGACATTGGTCCCTGTGGTAATGTTTAAAATGGATATCTAATCTATGCTTAATAAAATAACTTGTGGGATTTATCTTGTGATGCCTTAACTAATTAAACTTTCGTTTTTCCCATTAGCCATGTTAGCATAATTTCGGGCAAGTCTTGTACCTTTTTTTTTCCCACAAATTATTTGTAAGGTGGCGAATTTCCCCCCTTTTTTTTCATAGATGTGTACAAAAGCGTTAATAAAATTAAAAATTATTTTTTTTCTAATAGTCCCAAATTTAAATTTTTCCACTTCAATGTTAATCTATTGCCAACCTAAAAAAATTACTATCTTACACGAAGAAAAATAATGATTTTTATAATTATTGATATGCAGTTATCGAAAATTGTTTTTGTGCATGTATTAAATATTCTTTTAATAAATCAAAGATTAAAGCGCTTATCGCTCAAAGCCAGATCTTCAGGATTAAATTAAAAAAGTATGCATCCATTTGAAAAGTTTAAATCAGTTTTTTAATTGTATTCATCTGAAGCTATGATTTTTGTACCTGCCAATCTTTTATCCACAAATGTTCTATAATCTTTAATTTACTATATTTGATCTATCCTCAATCTTCTATTGTTATGGTCACCAATGTATATCACGACCTGTATTCGACTGATCGGAGGCAGATATTAAACAATACTTTTATTTAATAGCGGCCGTCACCTAGTCTTTAATTGTATCAAAGTCCTCTATGCCTATCATTTGACTTAGTTTCTAATTGTTGTTTACGGGAAGATTCGAGACATTTTTATTTTTCTCTAAAACCTACTGTTTAATTATAATAATTTTCGAGGAACCATTTAAAATGAAGAGATCTTTAAAAATCGTTTGGGATGGTTGGATAGCATTAAATCAGGGGTCTGTCCAGACATTTTGTGAAAGATCCTGATTTTGTAAAATTTGTGAAAAAATTACTCATAATTTGTGAATATAAAATAAGCATTAGGTCCTATTCTTTCAACCAGGGTCCTGTTTTTGTGAATTTGTGCAAATAAGGTCCTGTTATTGCAAAAATTGCTAAAAACCTTCTCAAGAAGCTTTTAAATTGTAAATAGATAAAAGATTCTGCTCAACAATTGCTGCCAGTAAATTAGAGATGCAACATACAAATATTTGGTATTTAGCCTATACTGCTCAACACAGAATATTCATTTCTGACGAATAATGGAAACAAAATCACACATTTTTAATAATTTCAATTGACATATTTCAAATAACACATGTATCACTTTTAATGTGTTACGCATTAAGTAAACTTAAACAATTCTTAAATTTAAAATTTATTTAAAAAATTGCCAGAAATTAATTTTTATTTGCATAATATTCTATTAATTANATAGATACAAGATTCTGCTCAACAATTGCTGCTACTAAATTAGAGATGCAACATACAGATATTTGGTATTTAGCCTATACTGCTCAACACAGAATATTCATTTCGGACGAATAATGGAAACAAAATCACTCATATTTTTAATAATTTCAATTGACATATTTCAAATTACACAACTTAGTAATGTATCACTTTTAATGTGTTACGCATTAAGTAAACTTAAACAATTCTTAAATTTATAATTTATTTTAAAAATTGCCAGAAATTAATTTTTATTTACATAATATTATATTAATTAATTTTATGAATAAATATAACTTGATCAATCATTTATTTACAAAAAAAAATTAATTTAATATCAATAAGAACGTGCACACGATGTTTGTAAAAGTAGAAATATTTTCTTAGAATACTACATTTGGAATTTTAAATTTTTTTTTTTTTTTTTTTTTTTTTTTTTNCATCTGTCTTTCTTCCCCCCCCCTCCCCGGGAAGGATTTATTTGATTAACAAAACAATAATGAAGATAAACAAATTTGTGAAGGGTCCGATTAAAAGATAAATTATTTTGTGAAGGGTCCGTTTTTATGGTAGGATATTTTGTGAAGACGTCCGTTTTTATGGTAGGATATTTTGTGAAGGCGTCCGTTTTTATGGTAGGATATTTTGTGAAGGGGTCAGTTAACGGACCCAATTTCTTCTAAACAGACCCTGATATAACATTCTAAATAAAAATAAAAAAAAGATAGAAAAATTTTCTCTGTGTTTTGTAACATTTGTATCGAGACTCGTTTACCAGATATTGTTATTTTAAATTGCGTTTGTGTTTATTTTGTTTCATTCGTGTAAATATATAACAATGTGCGTTATGCATGGACGACCTAATTTTTTCTTTGTTTTAAACTAAATGTTGACGAATTTCTTATGCTCTTGTAGGAGTTGACCAGCTATTATCACACAGCCACTACTTCTGTTTAAACAACTTAGCCATCCTACTTACACAAATTATAATGTAATTAATGTGTCTCCGTAGTCTGCCTCTTCATCTCTCACTGAGAGATTTTATCAGGTCAAATTCTAAATCGAATCTGTATCCTTTTACCAATAGTGTTTCGTGTGTCAAGGACTATTGGGGAATTTGCTTTAGTTAGGTTAATTATAGGTTGACCTGTCTATTAAAGAAGCAGGTTGTTTCGAAATTAATATGACCGTTATGGAGCGTATTGTATTTTTGTTTTTATCGGTAAACTTTTTATATTTTTATAACTTCGTTAATTCTATATAATTTTGTCAATAATAGTTGGAATTTTCAAGTATCGCACTGAATGAATAAATCGAGCATTATTTCAAAGATTTGGCGGAAACATGAAATTTGTACGGTAGCGATTCATCGGTCTATTTTTAAGTTTAGGCATAACTCAAATTGCGTGCTTGAAAAATGAACATAGTTTGAAATTAGCGTTGAAGAAGATTAATAGCTATTAAAAAATGGGTGTTGAGATTATTGTAATAAAAGAACTACCTAGTGTGTAATGATTTTAAGTTAGAAAATGCTAGGCCATTAAAAAAAAGTAAACATAGTAAGTTATGGCTAAGCAAATTTTCTTATTGATTTATTACGAACCTTTTTTAAGCTTAACATAATTGTCAAAAATTAGCGTTTGTTTGGGAATTTGAGCGGTGTCCTTTTTTTTTTCAAACTCTCATTTCAAGTTTTTTGCTCATATTCTTAAACGCATGCGCGTATTATTTAATAATGACCAAAGTAAAAGTTTTACCGGCAATTTACAAATTTTATAAGCATTATTTGTAAAAATTATAATAAAAATTACTGTTTTGAGTCTCTTTTAATTCAAGTTTTTATAAAAACTCATGTGTTTTAACTGCTAATGTGTATATTTTTTTAAAAAGAAAAAAATTTAAGCATTTTAACACGTCTGCTTTTTTTTTAGTGATTTTAATAAAATTAAATTTTCGCATATGCTTTCTTGGCTGTAAGAAGGGATTGACCTTTTAACTAAAATGCATAATCGTTTTGTTTGTTTTGATTCTAATTTTGAGTTACCGATTAAAGCTTTGAAATTTTTTTTCTTTTTTTTCTGTATTGATGGGCCAAACGTAAGTAATTCCATACTGGAACTTAATATATATACCCGGAGAATCAAGCAGCAACTTGGAATAAGTTTTTAATGGAAGAAACTAATTGCGGCTACCTACTTTAGTTGGAAAGTAAATAAATATTTTAAATTCTCATTATATCGCATTGGTCATTTTTTTTAAAGAAAAACATTTAAAGTACACGCTTTGAATGTTTGTTTGCTGGATGTAATTTCTTTTTAAAAATGCCCTTGTTTGAAATTGTTTATCTAACCTGTTATGATTAAAAAATGTTTTAAACAATTCAATGGTGCATTTCTGTAAGTCATTGTAATATAGAGGTGAATAACCAGTGTATTTTCCATATTCAGGAAGTAAAGGTTTGTGCGATTAAAAGAAATGCTGTCATAAGCTAGAATGTGCCACGTTAAGGTGAAGTTCCTTAATTTTTAATCCTTTGTGCTATGGGTGTTTATGCTCCTACCCCGTGTAAACTATCAGCACCAGAGGGGCTCCTAATTTTTTTTTTGGATATGGAAGCATTAATCTTTTGCCGGAACGCTAAGTTTATGGATACAATTTTTTAGCAGCTGTAAATATACTAACCAAAGAAAGACTGCTATTTGTTTTGATAATATTTAATGTTTAGAGTGACATTTTTTCAATCTTTGTTTCATTGAACTTTGTTTATGAATAGTTAAGACTATATAGGTTCCATGTCCGAAAGTTGAATTCGCAG